CGGCCATTTAAGTTTGATTCCGGTAGCACAACCCCTTCAAGGTCGTAACAAATCAGACTTTCGAAAATATTTGGTTTTGATTAAAATAAGTAAGATATTGATATGGTCCTTATAATCCAAACAAAATAGACTAGTCCAGCAGTGCAATCCCCACGTTACTGTTTAAGTTGCGGTTAAAAAATTATTGCACCTTTTGTGATTTTTCTTGCAAAATATTTAAAATATTACCCCTACCGCTTACCCATGATAATGGTTGATGACAAGCTAGTGGGAGAAAGTATGTGCCAGATTGCTGATACCGTTTATTTTCCGACTTCCGTTTATTAGGCTTACAGATATTAAAAACTACATTGTTATCAAATCTAAACTTAACTTAAATATTTTTTTTATTCTTGCTGAAAAAATAGCAGGAATATTTTTATTACTTTCCAAATTCATTGAACACTCTGATGTTTTCAGAGTATACCTGGGAAATCCACAAAAAGAAAATTATCCAATCCAATTGAATCTTATTTTGGGAAATTGCCAAGAAAGAATCTTGAGATCAACTTATCAGAGCCACAGCCTGGCACGTCTTCAAGTCCTTCTGGTACACCACCTGAAAATCAAAAAAATCCAATACCACCAAGAAAGAATCTCGAGATCGACTTATCAGAACCACAGCCTAGTACGTCTTCAGGTCCTAATATACCCATACTCTCTGAAAATTCGGAAATACCATTACAACCCGCAAACAATGACTCGTCAAATTACTCTGAAGCTCCTGAAGTGGCTGACATGCTTCCAGAACTACCTTTGCCTTCTTCAGACGGTTCAGAGATTTCAACTATTGCCGCTTCGAATGAACCAATAAAAACATTTGATATTGGAAACTATATTGGGAAGCCAATAGATAAATTTACAAAGTTTGGCCTGATACAGAATCATTGGCAACCACCAGAAGATTATGTATTTCCATTTTCGCTCCACCAAAAAGCTGGGAAGGAAGTAAAGCGGTACTTAGGAAAGCAACATCTACAAAGTAAACACTGGTTAGTTTTATCAGATGCACAAAAAGGACTTTATTGCAAATATTGCGTCCTATTCTCTCAAGAATACAGTGGCCATAACAAAGGTGTCCACCTCCAATCCTTTGTGTCAAAACCTGTGACCAGCTTTGCAAAACTCTTGGGAAAAGACGGGTTTTTAGAAACTCATGAAAAAAATGTTTACCACCAACATAGCGTTGATGCTGGTAAAAAATTTGTTAAAGCGTATCTGTCACCTAAACATACAGTTATTAATAAAGTCAATACACAACGCCTGCAACAAGTGACGGAAAACCGAGAGAGACTGCGTCCAATTGTCGAAACTATTTGTTTTTAGGTCGGCAAAACATACCGTTGCGTGGTCATCGCGACGACGGTCAACTGTTAGATGACAACAAATCCATAGTCGCAAACGAAGGTAACTTTAGAGAGCTCCTGAGATTCAAGGTGGCGTCAGGAGATTGCGTTTTGAAGAAGCATTTGGACAATGCAAGCTCCAGGTCAACGTATATAGGGAAAAACACCCAAAACCAACTTATTGAATGTTGTGGAGAGGAAATAAAGAATGTGTTGATAAACCGAGTAAAAGAAGCTAGATTCTACAGTATTATATTCGATGAGACCACCGATTTATCACACACATCGCAACTGTCCCTAACAATGAGATACCTTTTCAATGGACAAGTCAGAGAAGATTTTTTCTGTTTTATTGATGCACACGAAAAACTGGTTGAACTCACGGAGGACAAAAGTGCTGAGCCCAAGCTTAGTGGTGAAATGTTAGGGAAGATAGTTGTAAGTCTTGTAAAAGACCTAGATTTAGATATAAAGAATTGTGTTGGGGTTGGCACTGACAGTTGCAGCGTCATGTCTTCCGATGTAAAAGGCGCAGTCTCGGAAATTTTAAAGGAAGCAGTTTATGCTGTTAGATGTCCGTGTTTGAATCACGCTTTGAATAACTCCTTATCGAGATCTAATAATGTGCAATGCATACGAAATCTTATAGGCACAATAAAAACTGTTGTTGAGTTTTTTTTCAGCTTCTGCAAAAAGAAGTACAGTTCTCCAGAGTGTACTTGAGGAAAGGAATGAGGAGTTAGGAGAAAACAAAGGGACTAAATTATCTAGTCTCTGTGAAACCCGATGGGTGGAAAGACATGATAGTGTGATAAAGTTCTGTGAAGCTCTACCATATACACAGTTAAAGCTCTAGAATCTATTTCTGAGTGGACAGACATAAACAGTTCGTCAAAAGCTAATGCCCTTATGAAATCTCTATGTGATGTTCAGTTTATAACATCTTTACTATCTCTGATAGACGTATTGAAACAAACGCTCCCCTTAAGTAGAATGCTTCAAGCACCATCATTAGATTTGAAAAAAGCATCTGATGTAATCCATGATACTATTTCAGTTTTGGAAACGAAGAGAAGAGAGTGTGAAATTGTGTTCCCAAAGATTTTTAGTGGAGTAAAAGGGTTGTGCTCAGTTTTGGACATCGAGCTAAAATTGCCAAGAATAGCTGGCATTCAAAGAAATCGAACCAATTATATGACTACTGAGCCCGAGGACTATTTTAAGAAATCAATATTCATCCCTCTACTAGATAACATCATCATTGATCTTAAATCAAGATTTTCCAAAGACACTCTAGAATGTTTTGGTCTTAGTATACTCATTCCGTCAAAGATTGTAAAATACCTTGAACTTGAGCCACAAACTAACTCTCCACCAACACAAGATAAGGCAAATTTACTCATACTAACTGAAAAACTATCACCAATACTTGGGCAAAAACAAAAAAGTAATCTTATCGAAGGGGAGTTTGATTTATGGCACGCGAAATGGCTTAGAGAAAAAGCATCAGGAGTTGATCTACCGAAAACTGCTCTAGACGCTCTAGAAGCTTGCGACACAGACATTTTCCCTACCATTTATGATTTGCTAAAAATACTTTGTACTTTGCCGGTAAGTGTTGCGTCTGCAGAAAGATCATTTTCTACATTGCGACGGTTAAAGACATGGTTAAGATCAACGATGGGAGAAGAAAGATTAAGTGGCCTATGTTTGCTTCACACCCACAGGGATATTAAAGTGGATGTTAACAAAGTAATAGACAGATTTGCAAACTCAGGCATTCGAAGGTTGGATTTTGTTTTATAAGGTTACATGTTTGTATTTTGTTATGGAGTCTTCATCGCCCTCTGTTACAAAAAGGCGTTTCCTTGGTCGATTTCGATGTTACGTACGATACTGAATTTGAAGAAGCACCTAGGCGTCCTAGGCCGACTTGTATCATCATGTGTGATGTGAGAATGAAGTTCATTGTGTTGTCGTGTCGCGTATAATAACTTATGTTTGTTGTTAACCAGTTTATTATGAATCGAATTGTATTGTATCTTTAAAACTCATACTCAAAAGTACTTAGGTTAGGATTGGTTTGTTTTAGTGGTTAGCTGTAATTTATTTTCAATAACCACAGTTTATTGTAAACCATTTTATAACTTGTTAATTTAATTTTCTTGTGTCTTTAAAACTAAAATTTACTTAGGTTAGGGTTATTTTGTTTTAGTGGTTAACTGGTTTGAAGTTTCGTTTATATTACTACAGTTTGTTGTTTACCAGTTTATTATTATGTAATTTTCTTGTGTCATTAAAACTTAAATGTACATAGGCTAGGGTTAGTTTTTTTGTGGTTAGTAACTGTACCTACAGTAGTCTCTTTTGAATGACAACAGTTTGTTGTACACCATTTCATATATTATGAATAAAATTTGCTTGTGTCTTAGAGATATCTATCTACCCATAAGCTTAGTACAATAATTAATAAGGGGTTTCTCTGTAACACTGCTTTTTCAGCTAAATGTCAGCACGAATTTATGTTTTATTGCCTCTTGCGTCTTAGGAATATATTATTTAAAAGAAAACACATTTTAAGATGTTTTTGATTTTTAGTAATATAGTATTTTTTTATATTTGTGGATAAAAAAAAACATTAAACATATACTATTTTAAAGGTGTGTACCGTACTTCATTTCCTGTGATCAAAAAATCATTTTCTGTACTTACAACTAAAAAAGGTTGGAGTAAACTGAATTTTATGAAGTTACGGCCAGCACTTTTAGATGGCCTAAAACAGCAATATTGAACACATATTTTTCAAAATTTTCCGGACCCCCCCTTTTACTGGGGGGTATTCCATACCCCCCAGGCCCCCCCGAGAAGCCATAGCCACTGGATGGCCCCCCCCGAGAATCTATCCTGGAGCCGGATAAAACAAACTATATGTTGATGTTTTTACTTTTCTTTGTTTACACTTATTTATTTAGCAATTGATGCAGTGAAATTGATATGTGTGGACGATTCGTTTAATGATGTCAGGACACCAACGTTATAATTATGTGTACTGTGAATTTTATTGGATGTTTCCGTTTTATTTTAGGGAGTTTCTATTAAGACCTACTGGAAGTTGTGTATAGTATGAGTAATTGTATTGTGGTGATATTGATTATGAAAGAGGCGGTGGAATTGGAAGGTGATATCGTTGACTAGGCCTATAGTTCTCAATTGATAATTACTCTTTCAACTGTAGGCTGCAATAAAATTTGTCTTTATACGTGTAAGCTAACTGTTCTGAATTATACACCGTTTTAACTGACTACTCCCGTATGTAGGACGGGCTAGCACCTCGTGTTTGTTTAAAGATTATAATAAAGCTTCTTGTTCTGATTTTAATATCAGATGGCAGGCAGATGAGTAGGCCTATCAGATTGTGTTGAAGTTTCTTACAGGAGGAGCAGACCTAAGGCTTCAATAATTCTAACCATCTGTCAAAACTGGTGTAATTGATGAATAAAAAAAATACAATCAATTTTCGTATTACAAAAATATGATATAAAATTAGTATGTAGCTACTCTAAGAGAAATTCGTATCAAATATTTAAAATAATAAATTTCTTTACTTTGTTGCAGTTGACCAGATATTTCGTGAAGCTAATGTACTACCAAACGGCATGGTCAAATATGAAGATTTTGTCAAAATTTGCTGTGCCCCTGTGCCTGATTACTATTGACATCTTTTGTTTGTTTATCATGGTGGAAGACTGGGCTAGCTTTAGTTTAATTAAAGTAAAGTAGAATTTGCTGATGATATAAGATGGCAGAATTTTGTTAATTGTTTTTGAATATACAGAGTATTTATATTTATTTTTGTACTTAAGGGTGTTTGGTAAAAAAAACAATATAAACATTTTTGTTGTTGTTAGATACTAAATTAAAAGTGCCTGGTTGTTAAATGATTTTTACAATAAATATTAGGCTTACGGAACTATAAAATATGGCAATTTTTAAAAACCAAGGGCCAAAACACAGGCCCAAAAAGTGAACATCATTTATTAATTTTATATTTCTATAATATTTATTATACAATTTGTTTAAAAAGATAATTTCATAATTTCTCCCCGAAATTTGAAAATTGTAGTAAACTTGTCAATTTGAAATAAAATTTAAATACATAGACACAAGTTCATAAAAAACATCTAATTTTCTAAGAATAAGATCATAAAAAACATCTAATTTTCTAAGAATTACATACATAGATTTACTTATATTGAAATTGTTCCAATGAGATATCTTGTTTCCTACGACCAGTAAATGTTTAGCTTTATTTTTAGAAATCACTTCTAGCCAACCTGCACTACACGACACTCTCGGTGTGCTAAAAGCTAAAAGCGACAGTGGTGGCATCTCTCGTACCCAAAGAGCCTTAAACTACATCTGGGATTCAGTATTATTATTTAATATTATTTAAATATAAATAATATATTACATTTTGATATTTTGAATAAAATGTTTAAACAATTACTTTAGTATTTACTGTCCTATTATATTGAAAATAACCCCCTTTTCAGTTACTGCAACTCATTGATCAATGACATGACTGTGACAAAGGCGGGTATGCTTCAGCGGTCTCAGAACTATTGTTTGAGATTTGTATGTGGTCTACGAGGTGAGGAGCATATCTCGCCATGCTACCTTGAGGCACACACATCCTGAAATTAAACCATCAAAGATTTGTCATTGTTTTTTTTTTTATTATTATGAAAACAGGCTCCCCAAAATATATCAAATCTGATATTACATTTGTGTCTCAGGGTAGTTTACGAATTTTGCGTTCTTCGATCACATTGCGTAGTCCTCATCATGTGACCACAGCTTATAACAGGGCTTTTTTTTCGTCACCGCTTGCCGTCTATGGAACGCCTACCCCTGCACATTAAAACACTTGAAAAACGTTCCCAGTTTCCCACTTGGTGGCGGCACTGAACACTCTTTACTTTGAGCAGATGGTCTCGGCTGGCGTGTCCTAACGCTTCTGTGTCTTTGCAATATTGCTGGTGCGTGTATGCGAGAGTGTGGGAATAAGTTTATATTATTTTGTTAAATTTGCATGTTTTTTAAATTTTTTTTCTAAGAAATGTATGCCACTTGTTAAATATTTGAAACTGTAGATGTATAATCAGATTAAGCTATTTCATTGTTTTTTTGTTTAATTTCTATGTATTTATGTATATGTATATGTCAGGTAAAGTGTAAGAAAGGGCCATGTAGCCCTAACTTTGCCTGAAAATATAATTTTTCTTTTTATAAACAAGGTAACTAACCTCTAACAAGGGTTCTAACCTAACCTAACCTAAAATTCATACACTTGACTATAAGGTTAAATGTATTCGTCTAAGAGGAGATGTTTTACACTTAAACGAACAACTGAAAGAAACCCCTACAGTTTAAAGAGAAACCAGTTACGAGTTACATCAAAGAGGATACTAATCTCACAATGCCCTCAGTCTTTATTTTTGTTTAAAGCTATGAATATAAAACCAATTGTTTATGTACCTTTCCATTGAAATTTTTATAGTATATTGCTAAAATATTCTTTTTTTTTCTAACTTCAAAACTCCACTACAACACATTACCCTGGTTTTAATCTTTTATGACTTATTCCTTTTGTTTTACATCATGTACATTAGAAAAAAAAAACTGTATATGTGAACAAATTGATTGTAACTAAAACATTCTATCTGAGTTAATTATTATAGTAAATGAACTTCGCCTTTTTTAAACTTTCAATAATTTATACAAGTTGTGGTTGGTATTATTTTGAAAATGCAATTTGCTGTTTGGTGATTTTGTTTAATTTATAATTTATAAAAATAATGAACTTCTTTCTGTATATATTTTAGAGTAGGTCTACTTACAAAAAACTTTCAAAACTATTCTGTGGAATCTTTTACCTAGATCACTAATAGGGAAGACAAAACAAATTAAACTTAATTATCAACTGATTCCAGTTTCCAGTTGTTGAAGCAATATAAAAATATAATGTACAAATATAATGAGTTGTGAAGCTTGATTATGTGTTCTGTTTCAAAGTAAAAAAAAAATTAAATATTGTTTGTTTGTTAAATCAAGTTTTATTAATTAAATTAGGTTTAAAGATGTAACCTCAACACCAGTATGTATTAAACAAACTAAAATCGTGGTCGTGGTTAAGGTACATCATACAATAAAATATATTCAAAGGATATGCTGCATACGTATCAGGAAATAAATACTTGTTTGCGATTTAAAATGGACAAATGAGACGAAGGAACCCTTAGACATGGGAAACCTCTGCACAGTTGATGGAATGTCATTGTACTTCAGACATATTGTAGATGTCGTACTGTGTATTAGATCGCAACATTGACAACTATTCCAGATCTATTCTGTTACAAGTATTATGATAAACACTTAAATGTGGTAAAATGTTATCACATATTAAAAATATTAAAAACCTGCATACTAAGCGAATTTCCATTCACCCGGCTTGATTTTTACTAAAATATTCCCTGTAAATTTTCAGATTTATTTCCTATTTAAATAACATTAATTTTAGTGAGTAGTTAGGTTTGCTGCTACAGGAAAGATGTTGAGGTGTGTTTTTTCAATTGAAATATTGATAGCTTAGTATGAAATAATCCAAATTGCCAAATTTGATTGAAATATATCCATAAACAAGCAAACTAGAACAGTTTATTTATTCTCCATAAGAATAACATGGGAATTTAAAATTTACAATTTCTTTAATTTTCTCCGTAGTCAATGAACATTCAAAAAAACTTCTATATACTAAATTATTTGTTTTTTTAAGCTCTTCAAAATGGTCTAGAGAGAAATTTAGAAATTTAAAGTTTTTAGGGTCAAAAATGAGAAAAACCCATTTTTACCCCATAAAACCCCACATAAACCCATGATCCCATGGTCCGATTATGCTGGTTCGCGAACTTGTTCGAATAAATGTAGTTTTACACGTTTGTACCAAATTTCATCAAAATCGGATCAATTTTGCTCGAGTTATCGCGCTAACAGACACATATATAAATATATATATATATATATATATATATATATATACTTATAAAAGGCAAAGCCCTCACTGACTCACTGACACACTCATAACTAATTCTCCCACTTCCCATTTACCTAAGAGGCTGAAATTTGGTAGTACACCGATTCTTTAGGCATTAAATAGGAAAACTAAGTTGTTTTTATTCTGATCGGATTCTCGGACTCCGCCCCAGTGGCTCTGGATTTTCCCATGTTAACCTTATGATTTTTCATATTTAAAAGGAATTAATGAATCTTATCAGCTGTTTCAATCAAACAAGATGGTTCTGTTCTATGATGTTCAATAGCATTAAAGTTACAAGGATTACCAACAGGGTGCAGCACTATTATTTTTTTTTTAATTTATGACAACAGCTAATTTGCAACCAAAAGGTGAGTGAGCGTAGCGAACGAACTTCAACCTGAAGGCGAGTTAGCGTAGCGAACGAGCTTACCTGAAGGCAAGTGAGCGCAGCGAACGAGCTCCAACCTAAAGGTGAGTGAGCGTAGCGAACGAACTTCAACCAGGACGTGATTGAGCCATGCGAACGAGCTCATCTTGAAAATTAAGAAGTTAAACGGGGCAAGGCCCGCGGGTACAGCTAGTATATATATGAATTTGAACGGATGGTGTTTTTGGCCTCTGGGGACCTCAAAACGAAAAAGTAAATCGGTCCCGGGTCTAGGTCTCACCATGAGACCTACGGTAATAGCTTATTCCCTATATGGGAAATTCGCTAACATCTCTTTATGGTGTGATTACGCCTAAACACGAGACGTGCTACACAAGAGGCTTAAAAAGGACTTTTTGTCAAACATAAAAATCTGTTGTTTTAAATACGTGCGTTGCAATTGCAAGTCTACCGTTGCATCGTTCTTTTAGCAAATTTCCCTATAGGGAATAAGCTATTACCATAGGTCTCATGGTAAGACTTAGTCCCGGGACCGATTTACTTTTTCATTTTGATGTCCCCAGAAGCCAAAAACACCATCCGTTCAAATTCATATATATATATTTATACATTTATATATATATATATATATATATATGTGTGTCCGTTAGCACGATAACTCGAGCAAAAATGATCCAATTTCAATGAAATTTGGTACAAACGTGTAAACCTACGTTTATTCGAACGAGTTCGTGAACCAGCATGATCGGACCATGGGAACGGGGATTTGATGGGGTAAAAATTGGTTTTTCTCATTTTTGACCCTCAAAACATTAAATTTCCCAAATTTCCTATAGGCCATTTTGAAGAGCTTAAAAAAACAAATAATTCAGTATATTGAAGTGTTTTTGTATGGTTATTGGTTACGGAGAAAATTGTAAATTAAAAATTGCCATGTTATTCTTATGGAGAATAAGTAAACTGTTGTAGTTTGCTTGTTTATGCATATATTTGGATTAAACTTGGCCAATCAATTTATTTTATACTAAGCTATTAATATTTTACTAAAAAAAACACACTTTATTACCCTGTAGGCAGCAAACCTAGGTACTCGTTACCTAATGTGATTTGAATAGATTTAATTGAAAATCAAATCAGGCAAATGGAAATTCGCTTAGTCTGCAGGTTTGCTGCGGCGGGGGTATTTCTCCATAGGGAGTAAAAGTCATAAGCTTTTGTAAACTCAGTTATACTAGGTTGTACACTTCGATTACTTTGAATCGATTGTTTTAAACGATTGTAGCCGATTGTTTCATTCCTTCTCGACTGTAATCTAGTTGGACGCGTTGCAGAAAGTCAACAGTCCCGGTTTGTTCACTTTGAATCGTGGAAGATGCATGGCACGGGCAACAAGCTCATTTAGTAATTTAAAGCCCATAAAATTTAAGAAAAATGTTACCAATAATATCAATAATTTTTTTTCCCATACATAAATATTGCTTGTCCTCATTCTGGAAAACGTACAAGAGTGTCTGAGTCAATATTTACCTTCATTAACATACGTCCATCCAACTTATTAAGCGATTTATATGTTTGACTCTAAGTTGTAATCTCGTTTACAGGCCAACGTAGCACTGTATTGGAATATTGTGTTTAAGACAACTTTCTAAATCTGAAATAAGTCTTCTCTCGATGTCCGTTAGGTTTATTAATAAACAAATTTCATAGGCCTTTATAAACATTTTGTAATGAGACAGATAACGGATTAAACACTTTATAAATGATACCACGACAGACATTCATAATTTCGAATGAATTGATACATTTCCTAGTAGGCCTAGTTAGTATTAGATACTTAACTGTTTACCAAGGTTAGGTACTTGTTCATTTATTGTAATGAACTACATGCGTTATGTTGCGAGGCTAAAATTTGTATGCTTTTCTGCTAAAACCCCTTGAGTCATTGATCAAAGAGACTCGGTTATTGGACACATTTCTACGTTTAAAAGTCCTTTTAACGTATTATCACTACTCGTAGAAAGCTTTTTCTGTC